AAAAAGATGGAGATCCATGGAAAAGGTGTCTAGCAAAAGGGATCTACAATAAGTGAGAACATTCACTTTAGAGGAGAGATCTAAGGTTTACTCAAACCTTGATGTAAGTATTCAATCTTTTAATTGAATGATACATCATGTTTTATTTTTGCATAAAACTTGTCTCTAAGTGATGAATCAAGATCTATGAATTTAAATCCCTCGAAAAGTTTTTAAAACTAGCACGTTTCCCAACAGATACACCATAAAAAATAAGGTTGTCGTTATGACAACAACATAAGGTATTTATTCAAATTTCAAATGCGTAGGACGGTGATTGAATCCCATTATTTACCATGGAGCATTACACCACCTCCCTCTCATAATTCGGAATTGGAGACACACAAGACATCATGGATGTTAAAAAAAAAAAACACTCTTGACAGGACCATAAGGATGCTTCATCATGTTTATTTTGGACTTGGCTCAATGGTTATCGAAAGCATCTAATAACTTGGTCCCTTGGCCTTACCCATAAAAAAAAAATAAAATAAAATAAAATAAAATACATACTGATGGTAAATGTGCCCTTCAAATCAAAATTCATTATTCAACAACATTAATATTATAGTACCGGTCTTCGTTTTCCGATCTTTTATATTTATTTTCTTCAATTAGAACGTTGGTAGCAAAATATACTTAAATGTATGATTTTCACTTTCTAAATTCATTTATGTTTTAAACAGTAGCACAATAAAATAATAAATTAACAATTATATGTTTCTGCCTAGGCAAAATGCTTGAAATTATTAATTCTGACTTTGGGTTTCTAATACCTGGGATCTTTTGTTGTTTAACCAAACCACGTCCCTTATATAAATAACGTAACATATATAACAATTTGAAAATATTGGAGGACTTTCAAATAAATTGTGCGAGACACCAATTGTTGATTCGTTGTAGAACATTAGTGACCTGCCGCGGAATAAGATGTGAGAGGGAAGGCATTTTGATTGGGTTTTTCTTTGTTGTTTACATAAATGGTCTTATGATCTTCTAAGAAAATTCGGGCCAAATTTGTTTGGGCTTTTCATTCTGATAATAAGAAATATATTTTACATATGGCCTTTTAAGTATTACTCCTTATTTCAATAGATATAACTTGTTAAAATATATGGGCTACCAAATATATTATACATAGGGCTTAATTAGCCTAACATTATTCACAAGCTTAACAAGCCGTGACTAACATTGTTGAGGCTTGGCTCATTTATTAAACGAGTCCAGTTATGGCATTTAAGCTTGGCTCGCTTGCTAAATAAATGAATTCGAGTCGACCTTTTCACTAGTCGAGTTCGAGTTGTTTATGAACAACTCGATTCATTTGCAGCCCCTACACAAGTGTTTCAATACCATCATATGCTTGCATAAATCTGGAAAAAAAAATGAAGAAAATGTCGTAAATTTGTTCATGTCTATCTAACAAATGAGCCCGAAATCAAATTGCAAATGTTCAAAGAGACGCACATGTTTTTGGGTACTGGCAGATCATACCACCCATGCACACGTATCTATTGAGGGCTCAGCGGGGCATTGGCCCCCACTGATTTTTTTTTTTTTTTGGTACTATATACCCTTAAATTTTTTTTTTTTTTTGGTATTATACATTCATAAAAATTTTAAATTACCCTCACTGAAATACTCTCGCATGATTTTTTTTCTAGGTCCCGACACCACCTCTCTCTCACATCCTGAATTGGACACACACATGACAGGGCGAAGCATTAGTGAACTAAATTTGACATGTTCCACTTTTTCCTCACCTTGTTCACTTTGGACTTGGCTCAATGGTTCTTGAAAGCCTTTAATAACTTGGTCTTTTGGATGTGAATATGGACGACGGTAAGTCACTAAACGTGCCTATCTAACAATTGAGCCCGAAATCAAATTGCAAATGTTCAAAGAGACACACATGTTTTTGGGTAGCTATGCATGAATCTATTGGGGGCTCAGTAGTGGTATTCGCCCCCACTAAAATTTTTATTTTTGTACTACATACTTTTTTATTTTTATTTTTTTGGTATTATATATTCATAAAAATTTTAAATTACCCCATCACATAATTTTCTAGGCCCTGACACCACCTCTCTCACATCCCGAATTGGACACACACATGACAGAGCGAAGCATTAGTGATAACTTGGTCCTTTGGATGTGAACATGTTCCACTTTTTCCTCACCTTGTTTACTTTGGACTTGGCTCAATGGTTCTCCAAAGCCTTTAATTACTTGGTCCTTTGGATGTGAACATGGACGGACAGTAAGTCACTAAACATGCCCTTGAAATCAACGTTCAATAATTCAACAACATTCATACTAATAGACGAGGTATTCGATTTCCAATCTTTTACATCTATTTTCTTCCGTTAGAACTCTGATGGCAAAATTTACTTGAACTTATGATTTAATTTACCAAACAATGACCCTTATTAAGCAATCGTGAGAAAGGAGAATTTTCCAATAAATTGTGGAAAAGTGTGATGGACTCTAAAAATTTCCCCGTAAGAATTAGACGCATATAATAATTATTTTTTGAACGAATTAGAAACATATAATTATTATTTTTTAAACGAATTAGAAGCATATAATTGCTTTGCTTATTTTTGTGATATCAATCACATGACTAATGGGCCAGTAGTCTAGCGATTATCAGTTTTTTACTTTTCAAAGAGAAGTCAGGGGTTCAAGTCTTAGAAGAGACAAGTTTGTGTGAATACCAACTACAAAAAATAAAAAAAATAAAAGATATCAACCACATGAAAATAATAAAAAGTTGTATTAACTAAAAAGACAGGAAGTTCTTATGCAAACTTTCATGTGACATGTCAAAAGTTGTAACCTTGTGGGACTTATTAATGTGAAAAATTGATGGTTTAAATCTCTATAGAATTGTGTATGATTTGTAGGGGTGGCAATTCGTATCGTATAAATGTAACGGTATTCTACTCATTTAGTAAATTCAAACCCGACTTATTTAATAATTGTACCAAGAGCCCTCAACACTAATCCGACCTATTTAGTTAACATGTTAATCCATTTAATGACATGTTTATCAAAATGAGGGATTAAATATTCAATCAAATAATAAATACTAAAAAAAAAAAATTGTCACAATTAATCCAAATATTCAAAAGAAGATGAAGAAACATAAGGCGTAGTCAATATTTATGTTAAAATGACATAACCGTCAATAGTAATTGAGTTTAAACAAGTAACATATCATATAAGTCATATTTATGTTTATGACAGGTTTAGTTAAACAGGTATAAATGAGTTACACGTGTTAACCCCTTCAACTCTAACCTGACACGGTAAAATAAACGGGTTAATCTTGTCAACTCGTTTATGACCCAAACCTATTTAAGATCAACCCAATCTCGTTTATTTCATATCGTATTCGAGTCGTGTTGACAAATTATATCGTAATTTGCCATCCCTAATGATTTGTACACATAAAAAAAACTAAAATAAAATGAACTTTAATTAATGTGACATTCCTGGTCCCCTCCCTTTGCGAAGTGAACATGAGACTTCAACTCTTACTAGGGAAAAGACTTTTATGCGACATCCTAACATTAATGAGCTTCTTTTTTTCTAGGGCCCGATTTATTGAAAACAAAGGGCATGTAGGAAAATTCTACGAACGGGACAAAAATTCAATTCCTCCTAATCTTCTTCCATTATAGTGACTTTTTGAGTCAGTCAACCCAAACAATGGGATATTGATAATAAGAATATGAAAACCGAGACTGAATCTTTGCTCTTGGAGTTCGGCTCCCACCTATGGCGTGTGAGAGAGAGAGAGAGAGAGAGAGAGAATTTAGGATCAAATGGATCAAATGCATATTATAAGCTTGTGTACAATGGCTCTCATTTTTAAAAGTGAGCGTCGTCCTTTAATTTTGAAAAAGTGCATGTCACTCCATATTTTTCAAAACAGTCTTTTTATATTGCCTATATTTTTAACTAGTGTGATTGAAAATTGAACAAAACAGTATTTTTATATTGCTTGTATTTCTAATTATTAATTTATTCTAAGGTTGCAGAGAGGTATTTGTATCAATTTAAAAATATAGGGGAGTTTTATACCACATAAGGAGTTCTTGCATTATATTAATAGTATAGGTTTTTTTTTGGTTTTTTTTCCTTTTCTTTTGTTTTTTTTTTTTTCCCCGGTAGTTTTCCCTATAATTTACTAGTAGCTGAACTTATGACCTTCTATTGATACCAAGATTTTTAGTACTCCGTAATAATGATTTTTGCTTTTCTCTTTTCAAATTGCTAACCAAAATCAAAATTTAAAAATAATTTTCTAATGATAATTAATATGATATTAGAGTAAAAAAAAAAAAAAAAAAATCAAATTCAAACATGACTGTCATAATTAAAATAAAAATACGTATTAGATCAAAAGAAAACCACACGTGAAGAGATATGTTAGAGAATATAAATATCTAAGCGTTGATGGTGGTTAAAAAATAAAATAATTTTCCTCTTTTCTTCCAATTTGAATATGAATTAAAAAATCAAAAAGCGCCCATACTCTTAACAGTTCTAAGGAAAAATAAGTTCATAAATTATATTTTTCAGGGAGCAAGATTTTATATAAAGAATAAAAGATATAGGATCTTTTATTGTTTGAAAATTAATGTGATATATTTTATTATATAACTAGGTCTTTAATTAATTTGAAAGGGACATATAAATTGTTATAAGAATGTGAACTTAATCAAATTCAACCTGTCCCCTTCTTACCTCGGAATTCTTTCGAGTCACACATATATGCAAAAGGTAGCTTTCATTAAATTTGGCTGAGGTTTGAACCCGCGTCCAAGTTAGGTGTGGACACCTCAGTCCACACGTCAAGACATATATAGTCTATATGGCATTGGAAAGTATGTACATCTCATGAATTTGAATACTTGATCTCCTCTGTATATATGGATAGGTGTTATATTAGTTTTACATCAACAAAAACCAACACATACACATACACATGGGAGGGATGTTGAGGTTGGGAATGTTGTTTATGGTGGTAATGATAGTGGGTGTTTCAATGGTATATGGTGAGATGAGTCCGAGCCAGTGTAAGCAGGAGAGGCGGCTCCTCGAAAACGCATGCAAACCAGTTATTTTTGGGCAGGATCCCTCCCCTAATTGCTGCCAGCGAGTTAGGGACACCCATGTTGAGTGTGTGTGCCCCCAAGTTACCCCTAAGCTGGCCGCCCTCCTGGGATCAGTCCAACATATCGTTAACAAAATTGAAGGTTGTGGAAGGCTGTTAGGATATGTGTGCCCTAGCATAGCAAATTTTAATTTTGGATTGTAAAAGTCATGGTTTCTTATTCCCAGGCGCGTGGGAGCGCGTGAGGGCGTGTCCCACGCACCCTAAGCGCTTGCCGGCGCGTGGGGGCGCATGGGAGCGCGTGCCGAGTCTTGCAGCCTGCCCTAGGCGCGTGCCAGCGCGTGTGGGGTCCTCTAAGCTCGTTCCAAGCGGGGTTTTGCTTCTCCTGACGCGTACAAGCTTCCTATGGGTGTTTACAGACAGTTGAAGGACGCCCGTACAACAAGAATAGTTTTTAAATGTTAAAAGCTGAATCCATTGGCCATTTATATTGCTTCAGTCTATTATTTGATGCATGGAATAATTTAATACTTATTATAATTGTTCATGCATTGGATCCATGATTTTTTAATTAAATGGCTTGATTTATATTAATTAAATTATGAAGATAAATTGGATTAGATTGCTAATTAATTTGAGGGCATTTATTGGGAAACAGAAAAATTATTTTTTGTAAATTATTTTTTGCCTCAAATTAAATATTAGTGAATCATTTAAAATCCATATATTTTCTAAATTTAATTGGATTAAAATCAAGGCATTTTGCATGCATTAAATCATGAATTGAAAACCCTAGTTTTATATTATTAAAAATTGAGTGGGAGCGGGGATTTTTATACATTACCCCATGGCCTTCGTAATTATAACCATTGTGATTAGATCTTTAAAAATAAGGCTCCACGCATGATTTAAAGAGTCTAGATTACAAGAATGGTGGTCTCACGAAAATATTTATTACCATTATAGTTAGATCTTTAAAAATAAGGCCATACGCATGATTTAAAGAGTCTAAGCTATTAATGGCAATATATTTAATATTTGATTTTTCATTGGAGCATTAATTATGTTATACACTCAATCTAAAATCAATAGTATTAGCTCCCCGACGGAGTGGTCTATACTAGGTGATTTTAGAAAGGCTAAATCTAATCGGGAATTATTTCATATATATAGATAAGGCATTGTCTAAAGAGATATGGAAATAATGAGTTGTTCTCGTCAATAAGCAATAATGAATTCCGCCAACCGGATAAGTTATTGGCATATTGATTGTCCGATTTTTCATGCAATGTGGTTAAGGGACCCACAATTAATTAATTATTTTATACTTGCATTATTATTATTATTCACTTTATTTATTGTATGAATACTTTTATTTTCAGATTTATCATGACTAGTCCATTTAGTCCACTTGCAAACATACTAAAAGAAAATCGATTAACTGGACCTAATTATATCGATTGGAAAAGGCAACTAGATATTGTACTCACATATGAGGGGTTGAATTATGCGCTTACTACTCCTAGACCTTCTCCACCTTTGCCTGAGGATCCTCCTGAGGAGCATGAAGTTTTTAAGAAATGGAATAAAGCAAATGAGATGACTAGGTGCTACATTCTTGCTTCACTCTCGAATGTACTCCAAAGTCAACATCTTCAATATCTCACTTCTGCAGACATCATGCTTAACCTTAAGGAAATGTTTGGGCAAATTGGTAAGAGTGCACGCCAAAATGCTATGATAAATTTGATGACCATTAAGATGGTCCAAGGTACTTCAGTTCGGGAACATGCTTTAAAAATGATTGGTTTTTTAAATGAACTGGAGATCCTTGGATGCAACTTGGATGGTGAACTTCAGGTTGACATGATTATCGCTTTATTGCCAGACTCATTTAACTCTTTTAGGGTTAATTATTATATGAATAAGCTTAAGTACACACTCGCTGAACTATTGAATGAGTTGGTAACCTTTGAAGGGATAAACAAAAGCAAGGGTGCATCTATTAACTACACTCAGTCTGCTGGACCATCCACTTCTAGGCCCAAGAGGAGGGGCAAGAAAAAGAAGAAGGATGGTGCCAAAACTGTGGTTGTGCCAAACAAAGTAATCCAAAAGGATAAGGGAAAGAAGAAAGTGCAGGTTGAAGGCGAAGGAAACTGCTTCCATTGTGGTCAACCGGGTCACTGGAAACCTAACTGCCCAATACTTCGCACACAAGGCAAAGGAAAAGGTATATTCATTGTTGAGGCATGTAATGTGGTTGAATCTATAGATTCCTGGTGCATAGATTCTGGAGCCACTAATCATGTTTGCAATTCATTGCAGGGATTCCAGGAGTCCAGAAGCCTCAATGAAGGAGAGATATACTTGCATATCGGATCTAATGCTAAGGTGGAAGCTAAAGCAGTGGGAGTGGTTCATATGCAGTTAGATAGTGGGAGGAGTCTTATTTTAGAAGATTGTCTTTATGCGCCAAATGTTAGGCACAATTTAATTTTAGTTTCTTCATTGGTTTGCAAAAATTATATTTTTACTTTTGGAAAAAATGTTTTAATTAAATTAAATGGTTGTGTTATAACTTCTGGTGCATTGAAAGATAATCTATATGTTTTAACTCCTAGCTCATATCAAATGCAAAATTATGAATTAAATGCAACTTCATCTAGATTGAATGTTAAAAGAAAAGCAGTTTCTCCAAACTCATTGTATCATTGGCATCTACGATTGGGTCACATCAATCAAAATAGGATTCAAAGGTTGGTTAAAGAAGGTTTATTACCTTGTGAGGCAGAGGAGCCTATGCCAACTTGTGAATCATGTATTGAAGGAAAGATGACTCGAAGGGCTTACTCAGCCAAAGGATATAGAGCCAAAGAACAATTAGAGTTGGTGCACACAGACGTGTGTGGTCCCATGAACACCCAAGCGAGAGGAGGGTTTGAGTACTTCATCACTTTCATTGATGATTATTCACGTTTTGGATATATTTACCTAATGCGACACAAGTCAGAAGCTTATGAAAAATTCCGTGAGTTTTAGGCGGAAGTGGAGCGTAGATTAGGTAAACTTATCAAAACACTTCGATCTGATCGAGGAGGTGAATACCTCTTGGGGGAGTTCAAGGATCATATGGTCAATGAGGGTATTGTGCGCCAGTTATCCGCACCTGACTGCCTTCAACAGAATGGAGTGGCAGAAAGGAGAAACAGAACTTTACTTAACATGGTTAGATCTATGATGAGTTTTGCTACATTACCTCTATCATTTTGGGGATTAGCCTTAGAATCAGCGATGTATATTTTGAATTGTGTCCATCCAAGTCTGTTTCAGGAACGCCATATGAGCTGTGGTTTGGACATAAACCTAGTTTAAATCACATGCATCTATAGGGGTGTCCAGCACACGTGCGAAAGAAACAGGCAGACAAGTTAGAAGCAAGATCAAAAGCATGCTTGTTTGTTGGCTATCCTAAGGGCACTAGAGGTGGATTATTTTATGATCCCAGGGACAATAAGGTTATTGTCAGCACTCATGCTGTTTACCTGGAGGAGGATTATACTATGAACCACAGACCTAGTAGCCAGATAGTGTTAGAGGAGATGGTTGGCACGTCAGATATACCCCCTGTGAACACACCTAATATAAATACTGAGAATGATGAGGCACAAGAAGTCCCTGTTGAATTACCATCATCTAGTACATCGATTCCTGCACCGGTCCTTCGGCGTAATGGGAGGACTATCATCCAACCCGAAAAACTCACACTTTTGGGTGAGGTCTATGAGGCCGTCCCCGATAAGCATGAGTCGGACCCAGTAAGCTATGCGGAAGCGTTGACCGATATAGATGTGAATCGTTGGAAAGATACCATGAAATCAGAGTTGGAATCGATGTATTCTAACAAAGTCTGGGATATTATAGAACTTCCTAGTGGGGTTCAGCCCATTGGTTGTAAGTGGATCTACAAACGAAAGAGAGGAATGGATGGGAATGTTGAGACATTCAAAGCTAGACTGGTTGCCAAAGGCTTCACTCAACGTGAAGGTATTGATTATGAGAATATATTCTCACCAGTTACAATGCTTAAATCTATTCGCATTCTTTTGGCCATTAGTGCTTATTATGACTATGAGATATGGCAGATGGATGTTAAGACGGCATTTTTAAATGGCCATCTTGAACAAGACATCTACATGAGGCAACCAGACGGTTTCGTGGTTAAAGGTCGTGAGGACTGTGTATGTAAGTTGAATAGGTCTATTTATGGACTTAAGCAAGCTTCACGCACATGGAACATTTGTTTTGATCAGGCAGTCAAATTATTTGGCTTTGAACAAAAAGTGTTTGAACCTTGCGTTTACAAGAAAAAACAGGGTAATGTCATCATGATTCTCGTTTTATATGTTGATGACATCTTACTCATTGGTAATGATGTAGAGGCTTTGTCATCAGTTAAAAGGTGGTTGTTCAATAAATTTGAGATGAAAGATCTTGGAGAAGTAAGCTATATTCTTGGGATCCAGCTTATGCGAGATCGGGTTAAAAAGAAAATAGGCTTGTCTCAAGAGTCTTACATTGACAAAGTTCTAATCAGGTTTGGAATGGAAAACTCTAAGAAAGGGTTTTTGCCATTTAGACATGGGTTGGCTCTTTCTAATGATCAGTCTCCCAAGACTGATAAGGAAACTGAGCAAATGAGGCGGGTACCATACGCTTCGGCAGTTGGTAGTCTCATGTATACCATGGTCTGTACCAGACCGGACATCTGCTACTCTGTAGGGATTGTCAGTAGATATCAGTCCAATCCTGGACTTGATCATTGGTCAGCTGTGAAGAATATCTTAAAATACCTTAGAAGAACTAAGAATCTAATGCTCATTTATGGAGGTGATGATCTGGTTCCAGTCGGATATACGTATTCTGATTTTCAATCAGATCCTGATGCCAGGAGATCTACATCTGGATATGTGTTCAAGTTCAATGGAGGGGCAGTTAGTTGGAAGAGTGTCAAGCAGGGTTGTACTGCTGACTCAACCATGGAAGCAGAATACATTGCAGCCTCTGAGGCAGCAAAAGAAGCTGTTTAGTTGAGAAACTTTCTAATTGAACTGGAGGTTGTGGAGCACATAGATCGGCCTATGACGCTTCATTGCAACAATAGTGCAGCTATAACCCAAACCAAGGACCCAAAATTTTATAAAGGAGCAAGACACATTCAGAGGAAACATCATGTGGTTCGTGATATAGTAAAGCGAGGAGATATACTTATGGCCAAGATTGCATCGGAACATAACCTTGCTGATCCATTCATAAAGGCTTTACCGATCAAGATGTTTGATCGTTATATGGAGAACATGGGAGTTAGATGTGATTCGAATTGGCTATAAGTGCAAGTGGGAGCTGTTAGGATATGTGTGCTCTAGCATAGCAAATTCTAATTTTGGATTGTAAAAGTCATGGTTTCTTATCTGGATATTATTATTAAAGCATTATACAATTGGTGAATGGAATGTATTATTTGTTCGATTCATTATGGAATTGATTGTGTCCACTTGATTACAAAATATATTTATATGTATGTAATGGCAATTAATACTATGCTATAAATTAGTAATCATAAATGGTTTAAAGTCGGTAATTATGGATGGACATTTAATTAGTTAAGACTTAAACTGAGTCCACGATAGATTGAGATATATTGCGAGAGCTGTCGTATGCAATTGCTCTCTATCACAGTCATGGCTTTTGACTCTCAAGCATGAGAGAAGTATAAACTCTTTTATTAATTAATAATTACTTTGATTTGTTCGGCGGATACCTCGGGATCCTTAGATCGACACTTTGGGTAGTTATGTAATTAATAATTAGAGGTCTATATTCTCAATATTTGTATCAGTGCTATTTGTATTTATTTTGTTTTGATTATGGTTGATCACAAATTAAATTCGAAGGCCTTCGTATGTTTTAGACAAATGTTTTCCAATATATATTTATTTAATAAATTATTATTATTTTTTGTCAAATAAATATTTTATTTTGATCGAGCCGGAAATAATCAAAGGTAACAAAATAATTATATTAATTATGTTATCGGATTGATGGCTTTAATTATCCGATAAATAATTAAGCATAGAAGGGTCAAAGTGCAACATTGACTTAGAGGTTATTTACTATTTAATTGGAGTGCAATTAATTTCTTTTAGTGGAGTAGAAATTAATTTATGAATTAATTGAATTGGGTCTATGGTTTAATGGACCGGACCAATTATTAATTTATAGGAGCCAAGAAAATAGTAAGCCCAAAAGGATTCTCACCAATAACCCAAGTTGATATTGGAGTCATGTTAGAATTGAGAAAGTTGAATTAGAGATGGAGAATGATTTATTGTTTCCTTATTCTTATTTTTATTTTGCCTATATATACATGAGTTCATGTATATTTTTAGGGTGACTTGGAGAACAAGAAAAAGGAATACACTTTCTCTCTCTAGATTTTAGGGTTTTGTTTTCTCTGCTAAAGGAGGCTACCACCAGCCTAGATTCCAAGGTCATTCATCAAGGTATATTGGTGATTCCTAAAGGGAAGATAATAATCAAAAAGAAAGAGAAATGATCTTGCTAAAGGGATCTACAATAAGTGAGAACATTCACTTTAGAGGAAAGTTCAAAAAGGTTTACTCAGACCTTTAATGTAAGTATTCAATCTGTGTATTGAATTATGCATCATCTTTTATTTATCTTTGCATAAAACTTGTCTCCATGTAATGAATCAAGATCTATGATTGCAAATCCCTCAAAAAGTTTTAAAAACTTGCACGTTTCCCAACAAAGGCATGTTCCTCACAACTTCAAGTGTGGCAGTAAGAGCTCTCTCTCTCTACATATAAATATATATATATATATATATATATATATATATATGCATTATATATGGCTCATACATTTACTAACTAGATATATACTACTTATTTGATTGATACAGGTATCACCACTCCGTGAGAACGGGGGAGTAGTACCGCGCGACTATATAATATACTTTTATTGAATGAATGTTTTGTGTTAAGTGATCATGTTTTGAGTTATGTACCAAATGTATGAGTGCGTTTGAGAAAGAGACTGTGTGTAAAGAAAGTTGTGTAATTCTCCACCATCTAATATATAAGAAATAAGAATTTCTCGTGTTATTGTTATAAATCTCTTCAATTATTATTTTGTTTGATAACAAGAAATCTGTTCGAGTTTAGCACTCTGATAATGCCACACGGTACAATGAAAACACTTATATATAAAGTGTTTTGATTTATTTATTTCATGGACAATACTTGCCATATAAGAAGGAAGTTTCTTCTGGGTGATGTTTTTTTTTCTTGAAAGGTAAGATGATGGGTGATGTTGCTCAATAAAAGACTCTCATATATTTTTAAAATGATGTAATATTTAAAAAAAACAAAAATGAATGAAACTCATTTTTAATGGGTTAATTCAACTCATATATATAATGATGTATTAATCCAACTCATATAGATCTTCTCTTGTTCTTTGACAGGTATGAAATCTTTATTGGAGCCAAATATGGTACCAGATTAACCCATTAATTAGAAATGATAAGATTGTGAATATTAATGTTTTGATGTTCTATGATGTGAATAGGTATTCCAAGTCTCTTGAAGACATGGATCTGCGAGGGTATTTTTTAAGAAAGGGTCGGCTAACAAAGTCACAAAGACCTATTTGGTGTTGGAGTCTAAGGAAAGAAGGAGTCTGGCTACTGAGCCGTAGAGACAGCAGCATCATCGAGAGCGACCGGTTGGGTTTCTAGCCTCTATCCCACTTCATCAAACATTGAGCGAAGATGTTTCACCAATCTGGTCTTCTCTCTCTTTCCGAACCGAGGGAACGCCCGAAGGACGTAACGACCGAACGCCACTTAAGGAAAATTATATTTTAGTGGCCAAAATTAAACATAATTGTTTTATAGTGACTTTAAAGTCAAAAAAAGGTGAATAGTGACCAATGTTGAAACTTAATTGATATTAAGTGACCATTTGATGATTTATTACCTAAATAACCTTCTTATAATATATTATTATGTAAGTGGACAAATTTACCCTCTAGATTAACCTAAATAAACACTTACTTAAATTGACTAACAAAAAGACGACAGATTATTAGGATAAGTCTCTGAAGATAAGACCAAGATGGGAGAGAACTGAGGACGAATGTTTTACATCGTTTTCTACAAGGTTCTAAGAGGCAGGACGAGAAAATTGTAAATTTTTTTCTTATTCATTATTTTCAAGGTATAGTTATTATACTTTATGAGTTGATTTGTCTCAGAGATCTTCCTTAAGATATAAGATTGTAATTTTTAGAAATTTTTTAATACTACTTAGTTATAATTTAAGAAATAATGACCATTGTTAATTAATTTCATAATTTTGCCAACTGTTAATGGGGGTTTCAAAAGTATGATTTGCCACTGTAAATGTTATGAGCGTTCATGGTTGAGAGCCTTAAAAAATAGATAAATGGTGGAAAAGATATAATATTAATAAAGAAATCTTAATTTTTTAAATTGGTAAATTGTAAACTAAAAAGGAAAAAAGAAAATGTTAGATTAATGAAAACATTGGATTAGAGAGAGAGAGAGAGAGAAAGAGGATGAATTCAATGACTTATTATTTGTATTGGATGGCAATTTTGTCATCTAAAATTTATTTTTAAAATGTTTATCAAATCTTTAAGTGTTTTTGACCAAATTATCTCCAAATAGTCACTTAATATCAATTACGTTTTAACATTGGTCACTATTCACCTTTTCTTGACTTTAAGGTCACTATAAAACAATTATGTTTAATTTTGGTCACCAATATATAATTTTTCCTATTTAATATGAATTTTACCCAGATTACCCCATTAATTAGAAATGATAAAATCATGAATATTAAGGTTTTGATGTTCTTTAACATGAGTAGTTAATTTTGTATGTATAATATGAATTTTACCCAGATTAATCTAGAATCAGAAATGGGTTTGATCCATTTTTTAGAATTACGACATATGTCTATTTTTTATTAGACCACGTCACCTTAAGAAATAACTTCCTATTTATATGACGAGTAGTACTCATATCGTTACAGTGAATTGCCTAACTCAATAATTTTTAATTAGAGGGTTCCACTTCCTTATTTGTTGCATAATTGACCAATTAAAAGAGTAGATCTAATAATTCACTGCAAGAAAAATCATTTTCCTTATATGACCTAAGACAAATATTGTTCTTATTTTAATTTGAGTTATGATACATAGGCTAAACACTTCAACTTGTTCTGGTCTTTAGGTTGTTTATTTTGGACTTGGCTCAACGGTTCTCAAAAGTCTTTATTAACTTGGTCTTAGGGATGGCAATTTTTGGACTTGGCTCAATGGTTCTCGAAAGCCTTTATTAATCTGGTCCTAGGGATGGCAATTTCTAATGACCTGGCAAGTTTTCCTCCCGTTCTGCCTTAATGCATAGGATTTGGTAGTTCCCTAAATAGATTTAAGGCATGTATGGTAAAATAATTAAAAATTCGAAACAGGTTTGAAACGGGAGCGGATTTAGTGATAAACCCGTCCTGTCTCCGTCTCGATTATATATATACCTTTAAAAATTTTATATATAAACAAAATAAATATTTAATAATATTAAAACTCTTATTACTTTGCTGGAACTATTAATTAATATATAATATATTAATATTCACTACTTAGTAATTTAAAAGATGAACCAGCTTTTTTATTAGCCTAATTTGAAAATATTGGACTATTTTTTTTAATTAAATAATAAAAGTGGTATAACCCGTCCTGCCCCACAATTAAACGGATTACGCAGGCTGAAGTTGATACTATGTCTGTTGGAGTAGGTGTTGGTCCTTTATATTGTAGGTCGCGGTGACCATAAGCTTGGAGAAGCGGGCAATTTAGGCGAGGGCCAAGTTTTACATTTGTAAAAGCCACTATTACCTTTCACTATAAATATAGTTAGGGCGAGTAGGGATCGTCCCAAGGGATTGGAGTCGGAGTTGATTGTGGAATCGCTATTAAGGTTAGTAGGTCGAGTGATCAAACAATTGATTGGTTGGTTGATTAGATTAGAGAGCAACTAAATTAGACTAAGTAATTGAATACAATGGAGAGTAAGTAAGAGAGAGAGAAGAGTCTTGGGGTTTAGAGATCATCACCAAGCAATGCATTTCTATATTATTGACAAGTGATTAATGAGGGCAATTAGGGTGTTGCAATATTGGTGTGTGTGTATTTGGTTGATTTAACAAGTAAGGATGACTAATTAAGCATACATTATCTAACCAACATGTGAAAAGCACAATATATCTAGTAATTAAATATATATTGTCTAAATAGCATGTGAAAAGCACAACATATCTAGCAAATCATTGATCCTTTTCATTGAACTCACAACCATACATAACACAAAATTAAAGACATATGCTACTTGCATTCAAAAGTATGGAGCATCAAACAACTAGCATGGATTGTCTTCCCATCTAATATTATACTATCACTAAACTACAATTAAGCCATTGAAATTAAACTAATTTAGCTAAGAAGGAGACACAATCCATCAAGATATGAGCATGAACCATCTAGAGAATGGCAAGAACATTCATTTAAGCACTATGTTTTGACAACCTCTAAATTTATGCCATCAATACACATAGACATGCATCAACAACATAAAATCTAGAAATAAGTACATGAACATCTATTCTAACATACATAGATATATGGATAGAATGAAATGATCAATTGAAAGCATTAAACCACATAAATCATTGATTAAACAAGATCTATATATATCAAAGTGTCAAGACATTAATTACAACACTAATCCCTCAATACTACACAAGATTAAGATATAGAAAGCATGCTTGGGGCTAACTTTAGCCCCAAGAGGATGTCTAGCCACTCATGGTAAGGATGCTCCAACCCTCAAGGGCTAACTCCATGGAAGAGGTTTGCTCCTTGTTGATGAAGATCTCCAATGGTGTCTCTAGCCTCCTTCTCCAAGCTTCCTTGGTGATGGTATCTAAAAAAAAATTCAAGTCTTAGTCTCTATCTCCTCTATGTGTCTCTATCTCTCCCCTCACTAAAAAATAATCCTTATCCTTATATAGGTAGGTTAAAATCACTCCCCAAATGAGCTAGGGTCGTGCACACAATATTCTCCAATAATTGGATAAAGGACAACTTTCAATGAGCTGGAATTTTAACTTTTTGCACTTGGAGGAAGTTCGATCGTTCGAACCTTGGACTTGGATCGATCGAACTGGCTGAGATCGATTAAACTGAGGCTGGATTGATCCAACTGGCTGAGCTTTTTTGGGAAAAGACAAATCCGAGATATTTTGGGAGATATTTTTGGGAAAAAGACAAAGGTGGTTAGGGGTGGACAGCTATGGATAAGATCAATCATTTGGATAAGGACAAATGTGTTCGATCGATCGAAGAATGATATTGGATCGATCGAACTTTTGGACTTAAGTGCTTTGGGTCAATGCTTGGATCTATCTTGAAGTGTTGAGATCGATCAATGTTCAATCGATCGAACCTTAGACTTAGATCGATCGAACTTGCTGCTTTGCTTCATTTTGCTTCTTTCTTCCTCCACTTTGCTCCTTTCTTTGTTTAATCTCAGAATTGCTTCAATTAAGCTCTTATTTGGCTGAGTTAGCTTATTTTCAGGATAAGTGCCTGAAAATGGAAATAATACGAAATCAATCTAAAGCGACAAAGTAAGATAGATAAAGGCACTAGAATGCCTAAGCTTAAGGGGTTTAAATACGCACTTTTCAGTGCTCATCACACCCCCAAACTTAAATATTGCTAGTCCCTAGCAATGAACTAAAAAGTAAAGGAATGAAATGAACAACTATACAACTATAAACTAGAAAACAATAAATGGATAACGCCACTTTCGTAGGGAGCACGATTGCATTTAGCATATGCAACAAGCCTTTTAAACCCCTAAGTTACCCCTAGTGGACGAGTGAAGTCTCGTAAGGGTTTCCAGAAATGGTACCCACAAACATTAAGCTCATTTT